GTAGTATTTTCTTCATCATCAGAAACAGGAGTATGCTAATAACTTTTAGCAATTTCTTTTAAAAGATATTGCTGAATAGTAAGCTATAATCGTAGATCAATTTGGCATTTAATGCATTCATTATTGGGTGAGTATAATTTATTACCACACCAATATTGTGTAGCAGGTCCTTTCTAATCCCTTGGCCAAGCATATTTTCTAAAAGTTTGTTTTAACCGAAGACTAATATGCTCAATATAATATCAGGTACAGTATATTCCATTATAATGAATTCCATTTGAGGTAAACTCTATGTCTTAATATGAAGTTAAACTATAATTTTCATATAAGATTAGTTCAAGAGTTGTTATCATGTTTTGGTAATGATTAGAGTTTATTAGGGTTAGAGAGTTTGCAGGAGATTCATTATCAATAGCCATCATAAAACTTCTTCTTCATAGTTTTCAAAAGTTTCATAATACTGAGGAGGTAAGTTTTCTGGACAACATATAAGCAATTTTTGTACAGATACTTGTTTTAAAGTAATCCATGCTTTACAATCAGCTTCGCATTGATAACATTTGCTACTTCATCTAAATAAGATATTCTAATACCAGTATTAGGTATTAGAGCCTTTCTAACTTAAAGGTCTAGTTGCTTTTCCTTGAGTTTTCTTAAACTTCATATTTAAGAAGTAAATATAAGTCTAGTCAAATTCTGCTTCATTATCAAATCTAAATCCAGTTTTTAATACTTCTATTTTATGATGAGATTGAGTATTATATAAAGCTTGAGGGGGTAATTGTGATTTAAGAATATTAGATAATTGTTCTACTCTTTGATTTCTATATAAAGAAAACTCTAAATTTCTTTGAATAGCAGCTTGTAAGGCTTCTTCTTCTGATGGTAATTCTTCATTATCAACAGATAACATGTTAATAAATTTCTCATACATTCTTGATAATGTATTAGCATTACTATATTTTCTTCCAACATGATGAATTATTATAAAATTATAAGGTTCTAATCTCATAATCTATCTTGCTCTTTTCCCTTTCAATTCAGTTGTCCTTGACCATTTTAAAGCAGCATAGTCAGTAACAAGAAAGAATAGTTTAGCTTCAAGGTATTAATAAAAATGTTCAATTGCTCAAATTACAGCTAAGCATTCTAATTCAGTAGTAGAATAATTTTGTTCAGCATTATTCAGACTTCTACTAGCATAAGCAGTAACATATTCCTTGTTATCGTCATCTAATTGTGATAGAACAGCTTCTAATCCTAAATTTGAAGCATCAGTATATAAATAGAAAAGTCTATTAAAATCAGGATATCATAAGATAGAATCAGTTATAAGATAATTCTTTAGGGTATTAAATACTTGTTCATGTTGTTCTGTTCAAATATATGGTTTATCTTTTTTTAACAGTTAGTTTAAAGGTTTAGCAATTTTAGAAAATCCTTGAATAAATCATCAATAATAGGAGGCAATTCCTAGAAATCCTCTTAATTGTCTAAGGTTTGTTGGTACAGAGAAGTTTTTAATCTTTTCTACTAATCTTTTATCAGTTCTAATTCCATCTTTTCCTACTATGTGTCCTAGAAATTTAATGTTATTTAGAAAGAAATAACATTTTGTTAGATTTAATTTAAGGTTAGCTTTCTGAAAAATAGTAAATATTTGTTGTACATGCTCAAGGTGTTGTTCAAAGGTTGGTGAATATATAGTTATATCATCTAAATATACAACTACAAATTTGTTGATATATAGATGAAGAATTCGATCCATTAAGTATTGAAAAGTAGCAGGAGTATTTGTGAGTCTAAAAGGCATAACAGTAAACTCATATGTTCCAAATTTAGTAATAAATGCAGTTTTCTTTTTATCTTCTTCTTTTACGGCAACCTGCTAATATCCACTAGCCAAGTCTAAGCTAGTAAACTAAGAAGCTCCATTAAATAAACTTAAAACTTCTTGAATTGTAGGTAAAGGATAAATATCTTTTTCTGTAACAGTGTTAAGCTTTCTATAATTAATACAAAGTCTTTTTCTACTATCTTTTTTTGGTACAATTACTACTGAAGAAGTCAAGGTCTATAAGATTCTCTAATAATTCCTTTTTTTTCTATTTCCTTAATTTCTTTTTGAAGAAATTCTTGCTTGTCAGGAGGGTATTGATATGCTCATTGTTTAATAGGTCTGACTTTATCTGTATTTATCTCATAACAGATAATATTTGTTTGCCCTAATTGTTTAGATTGTCCTTCTTCTAAGATATTTTCTGAGAAAATATCAATATTGTTTGTTAAGAATTGACTTGCTTGTTCTTGTTGCTCTTTAGTAAGTTTTTCATTTAGATTAAATTTAGAATCATCTATGGTATAAATTTTTTCTTCTAACATCTGCGTTAGATAAAAAGCAGGTGTAGTTTCACTATTAATCCAGGGATTATAGAAGAATTCATCTACAACAGGAGGCTATTCCTTAATGTAATAGGTTTCAAATTCATCATCATTAATTTTATTAATCCATTGATTATCATCATCTTCATTATCAATTTCTTGGTAAATAAGATTTAAACTACTAGTATGAGTAGTATTAATAGTAGCTCTTTTGCCTAAGTATTGTATAGTTAAAGTATTATTTTCAAAATCTAATTTAGCTCTAGATTTATTAAACCAGTCTGTTTCTAGAAGAAGAGTTTCATCTATTGACTCAATAACTTGTAAGTCAACAGGAATTATAATATCTTAAATAGTAACTTTTATATTAGAAATTACTCCTAATGCTTTAGTATGTTCACTATTAGCAGTTACAACTATAGTTCTTGAAGGTCCTTAGATATTAAGTCCTAGTTTCTTCATTAGTCTTGCTGTAATAATACTAATAGCAGCTCTAGAGTCAAGAATAGCTTGAACAGGATTTCCTTTAATTCTAATATGACATCTCATTGCTGTATTTTTCTTAAATTTTTCTGATTCAATAAGGTTTGCTTCCGTTAAAGGTTTTTTCTTTTTTTGAATAATTTTAGCAAGGTTTCTTTATTGATTATAGTATTGTAATAGTTATGCTAGAGTAGCTGAGGATTTCATATTTAAAATATCAACAGAAATATCATAGGGTTCAATTTTATCAATTATAGAGGGTTGAGTTTTATATTTAGTTCTTGGTCGATTTACTTTTGTAGTTGGTATTTCTTCAGATATTTCATTAGGTACATCTTCTATAATAGTATCTTCTTCTATTTGAATAGGAGTTATCTTTCTGTTACGTAGATTAAATTCTTTCTGATATTCAGAATTTTTTGTAACATGTTTAGCTTTTTTTCTATCAGTAGTATATGGAGTAGACCTTTGATTTTTAGCGATATAAATTTTTTTCTCATAATCTTTACTATCATCTTCTACTTCTAAGAAGTTTATATTCCTATTTCTGATTGCATCTTTCTTTAATTGTTTGTATTGTTCAGTAGTAGTTTGACATTCAGCCATACAGTTTCTGGCTATATGGCCTGCATCACTACAGTTATAACAAATAATTTTTGGTCGAGATTGAATTCTATTTGGTTGGTTTCATTGATAATTAATTGGTCTTGGTTTGGGTTTTTCATGAGGTTCAGTAAGAGCAGATGCAATAGTTGCATAGTTTAAGCTCATTTGTTTCATTTGTTGAGTCAATATTTCAATATCTTTTTCTAATTTGTGAGTATTATTGCTTGAGGATGAGATTGGTTCTATCTGTTAAGCAAAGTCTTTTCCTTGTTCATATCATTGAACTAATTGTCGAGTATCATTTAGATTTCCAGAATTATGCAACATGATTATAGGTAATAGTTCAGGTTTTACACCTTTTTTAAAGTAATATAACTGTTGAGCAGTATCAGTGATATTACATCTTTTGATTAATTTATTGAATCTACTATAATATGATTCTATTGCTTCATCTGTTCCTTATTTAATAGCTTCTAATTCATGTAGCTATTTATTTTTCCATTGTTGAGTATAGAAGTTAAGTTTAAAGTTAACTGTAATAGCAGTCCAGAGATCACCCTAATTTGGTGTTCCTGCTGTATTTTGAGTTGCATAGAAGGTTGTTTGCTATTCATCAGTAACTCCATGTAAGAAACCAAGAAGAATATCTCTTTTTCTTTTACTATCCTATCTATTAGCAGCAGCAGCTTTCTCAAAGCATTCTATTCAAGTATATAGGTCCTGAGTATCATTTCCAGTAAATGGCTCTACTTTAAGCAGAAGGGATCTACTAGTATTTGCTTTAAGGTAGTTCATAATATCATCAGTTGTTGCAGCCATTATTAGATTTATAAATAAAAGGGGATTATTTAAAAGTGGTGGGTATAGAGTTGTCGATAAAGAAGTATTGAATAATAAATCAGGAGTAGCTATCTGATTATTATAAAATGGTAATTCTACTAGAGGGTTTAATTAGATATAAGTATTTGGGATTTGTTGTATTCTTTCTATAAATTGATTAAGAGGTTCAGTGTTATCTAGTTCTTCTTTAGATAAATGAAGTAGGTTTTTCTCAAAACAGTCAGTATATAATGATAATACTGCAATTTTTCTGATTATTTCATAAATATCACCAGGTGAGTTGTTGTATATAATACTATATATTATCTTAAAACTAAGATTTTTGTATTAAGATAATTCAAATTGTAAATAAATATTCCTAAAATTATTAAAGTATTCTAATGTTTTGCTAGTAAAATTTACTGCAGGGTATTGTTTACTATACCAAGTAATAAAATTATGAAAAGGAATAAATAATATAGGAGTTAAAATAGGATAACAGATATCACAAGAATTATCTGGTTCAATAAGTAGATTCAAGGTATATTGTTTTTGATGTCTAATTATGTTTGTTAAATACTTTGTAAAATCAAAAATTATTCAAAATTAAAACTTAAATATATTAAATCAGAGAAATAAATTATAAAGAGGGAGTTCCTTACGCCTACACTTTTGCTCATGGAAAACAATTAAAAGAATAAGAGAGAAAGACTTTTACAAGTCAATAGTAGCTTCAACTTGTTTGAGTTGAGTAAAATAAAAGTCAGCAAGCTTTAAATCTTTTATAGTAAAGATGAAAGAACCGTCTGTTTGTTCAGTTGAATTAATTAATTTATCAATTTCTTTCTCAAGGTAGTCTTTGTAAGAAGGTGCCTTCAATTCTTGAGTGTTCTCAATATGTTGTGGTGTTTGTGAAGTTGCAATTCCTCATCTAGTTATAGATATCACTCTCAATAACTATACAATTTTTTAATTTTTGAAAAAGTATCATTTTAGAGTGTTTGATACTATGCTATTGTTTGTTCTTATTTAGAAAAGAATTGTTCTTTAGTTCTTTGTGGTCCTAATGGTGGTCAAAATCTAAATTCAGTTGGATATTCACTGAGATATTAGTGTCCAAAATTTGTGTAACTAATGTCATTGGGTTTCTTGAAGAAGCTTTCTCTAACTTTCTTTGCAGATCAAAATCACCAAAACTATTTTGAAACGCAAATAACAGGTTTTAAAAGGATTTTTTACTAAGGTAATGCTTAGTACAAAAGATGCGGTAGGTTTTCAAAAATTTACAGTAAAAATTTCATGTAGATTAGTTCAAAACTGATCGACTTTTCTTAGTAGTGAGTAACTTCAAATTTCTTCAGTAAAGAAGAACTTTATCTTACAGTCAGCACTAAATTGTCAAACGGGGAATTCACCTCTTCTAGAGTTCTTAGAGACTGCTGATTATAGTATGAAGACTATAACTTTACAGCTTGTTATATGGCATCTAGAATTAAGACTTAACAAAGAGGTTT